TCGTTTAGACGTGAAGTCTTCCCAGGCCTTTCCAGATCCAGATGCACCCGAAGCAGCAGCAGCAGCAGCAGCAGCAGCAGCAGCAGCAGCAGCAGCAGCAGCAGAAGGGGATTTGCTGATGCATAAAGGGAAGCCAATTGCTGCTATGGGCGATGATGAGCTGAGGGCTTCTGCTGCTGCTCTTGTGGCTCAGAAGGCAGCAGCAGAAGAAGCAGGACTTGACCAGCAAAGTAAACCCTAAACCCTAAACCCTAAACCCTAAACCCTAGGCTCCAACTCCTGAACTTTACTTGCGCCCAGTCGAACGATTCCCTTCAATAAGAGCTCCTTAGAGAGGATCTACAGCTAGGGTTTAGGGTTTACGAATCAGCTTTTAAGGCTTAGGGTTTAGGGTTTAGGGTTTAGGGTTTAGGGTTTAGGGTTTAGGGTTTAGGGTTTGAGTGCAGTGTTGGAGGGTGACCTGCTGTTCTCTGGGGGCCCCTCGGGGGCCCCCAAAAGCCGTCAAGAAATTTTGAGGGAAATAATAACAAAAAGCAAAGATGCCAAAGCCCAGGTAAACCCTAAACCCTAAACCCTAAACCCTAAACCCTAAACCCTAACTCCTACGCCCTGAGGGCTGGGGCTGCTGCGTTGCAGCTGGAAGCGTGCTTCGTAGCGGCGTGGGGTTTATGGATTGGGGTTTAGGGTTTAGGGTTTAGGGTTTAGGGTTTAGGGTTTAGGGTTTGGGTGGCGGCTGCAGCACGCGAGGGAAGTGGAGGAGCAGCAGCAGCTGCTGCAGCAGCTCGAATTGCAATTTGCTGCTGTCCGCGAAGACTTGCCTTTTGTGGCGCCCAAGCAGAAAGAGCCGTGAGGGTTTAGGGTTTAGGGTTTAGGGTTTAGGGTTTAGGGTTTGGAACCCAGGGCGTGGGCTGAACTGCCGAGGGAGAGGCAGCAGAAGCCAGGTCTGGAGGGTTTAGGGTTTAGGGTTTAGGGTTTAGGGTTTGCGTTACTTTAGGAGCCTTGGAGAACTGCTGGCCAAATATGCGAAGGGAGAAGAGCAGCAAGATGGCAAGCAGCAGCAGAAGCAGCAGCAGCAGCAGCAGCAGCAGCAGAAGCAGCAAAAGAAAGAGCCGTCACTACTTGCCTTTCTCAGCAGCAGCAGCAGCAGCAGCAGCAACAGCAGCAGCGTCGGTGAGGGCCCGTTGCTGCTGGACTCAAGCGAGAAGAGCAGCAGCGAGGGCGCAGCAGCAGCAGCAGCAGGAAAGGGTTCTGGCGCTGCAGCAGCAGCAGCAGCTGCTGCTGCTGCTTCTGGCGAGGGCCTGATGCCTGCAGCAGCAGCAGCAGCAGCAGCAGCTTATGACCGCGCAGCAGCTTTGCTGCGCTTTGAGCCTCGTGTTGCAGCAGGAGAAAAGCTGCTGACAGAAGAAGAGCTGCAGCAGCGAGCCAAGAAGAAGCTGCTGCAGCAGCAAAAGAAGCAGCAGCAGCTGCTGCAGCAGGAGCAGCAGCAAGGTACCCTAGGGTTTAGGGCTTAGGCTCGAGGGTTTTGGGTTTAGGTTTAGGGTTTTGGCCTTGGCTCTGGCTGGGGTTTAGGGTTTAGGGTTTAGGGTTTAGGGTTTGTTGCTGCAGAGGAAGAGGAACTGAGGAAAGAAGAAGAAAGCTTTTGGAACGGAGCAGCAGATGCTGAGGCTTCAGGCAGCAGCAGCAGCAGCAGCAGCAGCAGCAGCAGCGATGGCAGCAGCAGCGACGGCAGCAGCAGCGATGGCAGCAGCAGCGACGGCAGCAGCAGCGACGGCAGCAGCAGCGACGGCAGCAGCAGCGAAGAAGAAGACGAGGAGCTGCAGCAGCTGCTGCAGCAAGATGAAGATGATGAGGTATCTGACACTGCAGCAGCAGCAGCAGCAGCAGCAGCAGCAGCAGAAGAGAGAGCAGCAGCAGCAGCAGCAGCAGCAGCAGAAGAGGCAGCAGCAGAAGAAGCAGAAGAAACAGAAGCAGAAAGTGAAGACAAAGATGGCGAGCCAGCAGCAGCAGCAGCAGAGCCCGCAGCAGCAGCAGCAGCAACAGCAGCAGCAGCAGCCACAGCAGCAGCAGCAGGAAAGGCCGAGGTGGACTCAGACAGCGGCACCAGCGCAGCCCCAACCGCAGCAGCAGCAGCAGCAGCAGCAGCAGCAGCTGCTGCTGCTGCTGCTGCTGCTGCTGACAGCGAAGATGAGGAACTTACGGAAGAGCAGCAGCAGCAGCAGCAGCTGCTGCTGAACGAACCCCACGAGCTGCTGCTGCCTTACAAACCCTTGCTGCCGAAAGCAGCTGTCGATACACCTGAGATCTTCGCCCCCTGGAAACCCTCGTCGCAGGCCAAGCTGCTGCACCGGTAAACCCTAAACCCTAAACCCTAAACCCTAAACCCTAAACCCTAGGCTGCAGCTGCGAGGCTTGCCTGGGGTGGCTTTCTTGGCGTGTGCCGGCTGGACTTCAGCGCAAACCCTAAACCCTAAACCCTAAACCCTAGTTGTTTTGCATGCAGCTATTTCATTCTTTACTTCCCAAGTGACCCCCAGACCTTAAACCCTAAACCCTAAACCCTAAACCCTAATTGTTTGGCCCCAAATGACCGTATATATATGGGCCTAAACCCTAAACCCCAAACCCTAATTTTTGCGTGCGGCTGGTTAATTCTTTACCCCCAAGTAACCCTGTATGGGCCTAAACCCCAAACCCTAAACCCTAAACCCTAAACCCTAAACCCTAATTTGTGCGTGCAGCTATTTAATTATTTACCCCCCAAGTGACCCAAAATGGGCCCCACAGATGCAGCAGCTAACGGAGGGGCTGCTGCTGCACCTCGTGCTGCAGTCGCGCAGCAACTTTACCCAGGGTGGCGGTAAACCCTAAACCCTAAACCCTAAACCCTAAACCCTAAACCCTGAAAGCTGTGCCGCGAGATGGGGTATGAGGCGGAGGCCGCACACTGGGCTCCAAGCTCAAACCCTAAACCCTAAACCCTAAACCCTAAACCCTAAACACCAATTTGGTCTTCTGTTTGCAGGTACCCCGTTCTTTGAGCTGTGGCAGCAGCTGCATCCTCCGCTGCTGCTGCTGCTGCAGCACTCGGCAGCAGCAGCAGCAGCAGCAGCATTTTTCAAGCCCTTGCTGCTGCAAATGGCTGCCCGTGTTGCTCCCGGGGACGAGGAAGTGCAGCAGCACCTTAGAACTCACATTGCTGCTGCTGCAGCAGCAAAAGGAGCAGCAGCAAAAGCAGCAAAAGCAGCAGAGAAGGCTGAAGGAACAGATGAGCTGCTGCAGCTGCTGCAGCCGCAGCTGCCGCAGCAGCTGCAGCAGCAGCAAACGGAAGCCACCACAAACAGGTGCATCCTGACTGCTACAGATGTTGCTGTGCTGCAGCTGCTGTTCTGCTGCTACCCACTGCAGCAGCAGCGGCAGCAGCGGCTGCTGCAGCTGGGATTTGTTGTGCTCGAAGCAGCAGCAGCAGCAGCAGCAGCAGCGCAGCACGCTGACGTCGTTCCCGTTTGCCCACCTCGCCTGCGTTTGCTGCTGCGGCGCAATGAGCTGCAGCAGCAGCAAATCCGCGCGCAGCTGCAGCAGCAGCAGCAGCAGCAGCAGCTGGAGCAGGAGCTGCTGCAGCTGCAGCAGAAGCAGCAGCAGCTGCTCAAACAGCTGACAATCCCGCGACTGCCACTGACACGCAGCGGCATTGCAGCAGCAGCAGCAGCAGCAGCAGCAGACTCGCTGCTGCAGCAGGAATCCGCCCCCATCAGCAGCAGCAAAGAAACATTTGCTGCTCTGCCCCCTACCCTTCCACCTGCTGCTGCTCCTCTTGCTGCTCAGCTGCTGCTGCTGCAGCGCCAGGCTACTGCAGCAGCAGCACAAGAAGGTTGCTTCTTCCCATCAGCCTTCAGCCTTGCTGCTGCGCTGCTGCACACAGCAGCAGCGCAGCTGCTGCTGCTGTCCAGGCAGCAGCAGCAGCAGCAGCAGCCCCAAGAACAGCAGCAGCAAGAACAGCAGCAGCAAGAAGAAGAAGAGCTGCAGCCAGATCTCGAGGACGCTGTTCTGCACATTCTGCAGCAGCAGCAGCAGCAGCAGCAGCAGCAGCAGCAGCAGCAACAGCAGTGGGAAGGCTGGGCAGATTTCGGCTGTTCCGTAGCTGCAACGGCTCTGGCGATGTTGCAAACCCTCGTAAACCCTAAACCCTAAACCCTAAACCCTAACAGTAAACTCAGAGCCCGTTAGCTAAATAAACCTGCATGCGCCTGCGGGAGTCGCTGTTCTAGGGTTTAGGGTTTAGGGTTTTGGGGTTGGTGCTTCTGCTGCAGCGCTCACAAACCCTAGCAGTGTACGTGCCGGTGATGCAGCAGCTGCTGCCAGCCCTCCCGCTGCTGCAGGGTTTGCTGCTGCAAGCTGCTGCTGCTGCTGCTGCACCAGCAGCAGGTGCAGCGGCTTCAGCAGCAGCAGCAGCTGCAGCAGCAGCAGCAGCAGCAGACGAAGAAGAAGACGAGGAGTCTGCGGAAGGCTCTTCATCCTCTGCAGCAGCAGCTAAAGCAGCAGCAGCAGCAGCAGCAGCAGCAGCAGGGGGCAGGGCTTGCTGCTGCTTCCTGCTGCAGCTGCGGCGGCTGTGGCGCTGCGCCTTTGAAGCAGCAAGCAGCAGCTTGTGTCCCCTCAGCATTCAGCAGGGCAACAAGAAGGTAAACCCTAAACCCTAAACCCTAAAACCCCACAAAGAAGCAAACCCTCGAGCCCAGCAGCCCTGTGGAGGCTCGGGATTAGGGTTTAGGGTTTAGGGTTTCTCTAGGGCGTAGGGTTTGGGGCTCCGCCCGAGCTCTGCAGAGGGCTTAGGGTTTAGGGTTTAGGGTTTAGGGTTTAGGGTTTAGGGTTTGTGTCTCAGGCGGGGCTGCAGCTGCTAACTCCGCGGTACTATGACCCCAAGAGCCTCGGGGGTTTGCGCAGCAGCAGCAGCAGCAGCAGCAACTTGCTGCAGCGGGAGCTGCTGCAGCAGCACCGGGAGAAGCGGCTGTACAAGCAGCAGCGGCGCAACGCAGCAGCAGCAGTGCGCGCGTCAGCTGCTGCTGCTGCTGCTGCTGCTGCAGCAACAGCAGCAGCAAGAAAGGCAGCAATTAACGCCACCACAAACCGCTTCCTCAGGATACTTGAACAAGACACGGTCGAGTACAAAAAGATGAAAACCATTGGTAAACCCTAAACCCTAAACCCTAAACCCTAAACCCTAGAAGCAACGCTGTGTCTCAAACCCTAAACGCTAAACCCTAATCTTTTGCTGCTGCTAAGCTGAGCCCTTGACGGTGCTTCCCGTTTTCACCGCAGCCGAAATCAGCTCGCGTGTAGGGTTTAGGGTTTGTGTTCTAGGGTTTAGGGTTTAGGGTTTAGGGTTTAGGGTTTGGGAGTGCAGGAGGCGGCATGGACACTTCGCTGCAGAAGTACAGACCCTCTAAAGAGAAGAAGAAAAGAAGACTGGCGGGAAACAAAACAGATTCCTAAACCCTAAACCCTAAACCCTAAACCCTAAACCCTTGGCCCTCGCCGCAGCACGGGCCAGAACTGCAGCGGCATAGCAGCAGCACCAGCTGCTGCTGCTGCTGCGGGCCTGCTGCTGCTGCAGCAGCAACTTCTATATGCACAATGCGCCCAATTGGCTCCTCGTCTAGGGTTTAGGGTTTAGGGTTTAGGGTTTAGATTTCTTTGGTCTCATGCAACGCCGCTTGCGGCAGATGCTTCATAGCTCGCAGTATGATGCTGCTGATTTGCTGCTGCTGCTGCTGCTGCTGCTGCTGCTGCTGCTGCTGCAGCTCATGCTTATAGTGGTTCGAGCCATAGACACCTGAAAAGAGATTTAGCAGCGGCTGCAGCAGCGCGTTGCGCAGCGCAGCACGACGGGCCTCTTGCTTCCGCTGCTGCTGCTGCTGCTGCTGCTGCTGCTGCTGCTGCTGTTGCTGCTGCTGCTGTTGCTGCTGCTGCAGCAGCAGCATCTGGTGGTCCGCATATTCCATGTACGCCATGAGGGCTTCATAGCGGCTCGTCGCAACGGTGCTGCTGCTGCTGCTGCAATTGCTGCTGCTATTGCTGCACTTGCTGCTGCTGCTGCTGCTGCTGCAATTGCTGCTGCCATTGCTGCACTTGCTGCTGCTGCTGCTGCTGCTGCTGCTGCTGCTGCTGCTGACGGGGTGGGCAGCAATAAACGCATCCGCCCGCCTCAGCCAAAGCCATGGGTTGTTCTTGAGGCTTCTCCCAATCATTACTCCGGAGATGCTGCTGCTGCTGCTGCTGCTGCTGCTGCTGCTGCTGCTGCTGTAGCGCTGCAGCAGCCGCGAGGCTTCTTCAGGGTCTTGAATGCCGCCATTTAAGGTGAAGAAAATGCGCCGGTTGGTTTGCTGCTGCGCTGCAGCAGCAGCAGCAGCTGCTGCTGCTGCTGCTCTGTCATAATCTAGGGGAGGGGCTTTGCTGCTGCTGCTGCTGCAGGAGACCCCCAGCAGTCCCTCTCTTGCATGAAGAATAAAATGCCTAGGTGCTGCAGCAGCAGCAGCAGCTGCTGCTGCTGCCTCCGGCTCTGCTGCAGCAGCTGCTGCAGCAGCAGCTGCTGCTGCTGCGTTGCACTGCAGCAGGAAGCTTTCCACGCTGGCCTCCTCGCCTGCAATGCCCAGACGGCACTTCACGGATACCTCCACTTGCTGCTGCTGCTGCTGCTGCTGCTGCTGCTGCTGTGCTGCTGCTGCTGCTTGTATTGCTGCGCACATGGCAGCAACATTATGTGGCTGCCGCTGCAGCAGCAAACCGAAGCCTCCTGCTGCTGCTCTGCTGCTGGGGCAGCCGCAGTTGAGGTTGAAAAGCAGCAGCTGCTGTTGCTGCTGCTGCTGCAGTTTCTGCTGCTCGTCGGCTGCGATTGCAGCAGCAGCTGTTCCTGCTGCTGCTGCTGCAGTAGCATCAGCAGCAGCAAGCTGCAGCACCGTTCCGCTGTCTGCTGCAGCAGCTCTGATCTCCTCTACTGCGTGACTGGGCAGCAGCAGCAGCAGCTGCTGCAGCAGCTGCTGCCTTTGTTGCGAGTGCGCGGGCTGCTGCTGCTGCTGCTGGAGCTGCTGCAGCAGCAGCAGCAACTCCCGGTGCTGCTGCTGCACTAGCAGCAGCATTTCTGTGTACAGCAGCAAATCTGCTGACAGCAGCCGCAGCAAATAACGAAAGTGGCGATTAGAATATCCAAAAAGAGGAGCAGCAGCAAGACTGCTCACGTCCCCAGGCACTTTGCTGCTGCTGCTGCTGCTGCTGCTGCTGCTGCTGCTGCTGTTGCTGCTGCTGCTGCCCCTGGCGCTGCCGCTGCTGCTGATGCAGCTTTTCGTGTCCAATCTACTGCTGTTGCTGCTGCTGCTGCTGCTGCTGCTGCTGCTGCTGTTTGCATGCCCGCAAAGCACACGCCGCGCGGGGCTGCTGCTCCACTTGCTGCTGCTGCTGCTGCTGCTGCTGCTGCTGCTCAAGGGTTTGCTGCAGCAGGGCATCAGGGGGCTAACGAAAGCAGCAGCACTTCCTTCCGTACATTTGCTGCCAGCTGCTGCTGCTGCTGCTGCCAAGTGCAGCAGCAGCAGCAGCAGCAGCATCTGCAGAGCTTGGACACATCCGTGACCAGCAGTCGGAACACCACTACTACATCTGCTGCTGCTGCTGCTGCTGCTGCTGCTGCTGCTGGCGCTGCTGCTGCTGCTGCTGCTGCCCTAGCATTGTTGTTGTTGTGGTTGGCTCATTTGCTGCCGCTAGCGCAGTCAGCTGCTGCTGGCCTTGCTGCTGGTTTGCTGCTGCTGCTGCTGCTGCTTCTGCGGCTTTGCTGCTGTCGCTGCTACGCTGCTGTTGCTGTTGTGCTGCTGCTGCTGCTGCTGCTTTTAAGCCGCTGTTGCTGCTGTCCAGCTGCTGCTGCTTTTCAACCCTTTGTCTGTCGACATTGCCTGCCGGCATTAATTACTTTGCAGCCTAAACCCTAAACCCTAAACCCTAAACCCTAAACCCTAAATTCTAAACCCTAGACCCTGGAACAGGGAGCTTTGTAAGCGCTCGCCCCATTTCGTGCGCATTGGAAAATAATTAGGGTTTAGGGTTTAGGGTTTAGGGTTTACGGCTTAGGGTTTGTAACTAAGGCTTACGGTTTTGGGCAGAGACACAGCGTTGCCCAGAGCTCAGAGTCCAGGGTCTAGGGTTTAGGGTTTAGGGTTTAGGGTTTAGCATATCCTTTTACAAACAGCTTGCTTCGTATGTGTGACTTTAAGCGTGGGTGTTTTTCCTAAATTTTAGAGCTTTTTAGGGTTTAGGGTTTAGGGTTTAGGGTTTAGCTCTAGGGTTTGAGTTGGCGGGGCCGGGAGCGACCGAACCGGTGAGCCACGGCAGCAAACCCTAAACCCTCGAATTAAATGGATGAGAAAATTCTGTTTGCCAGGCTTTAAACCCTAAACCCTAAACCCTAAACTCTAAACCCTAAACGATAAACCCTAAACCCCTTAAAAGCATGGGCTTGCCTGTGCTTTTCTGGGCCCACACCGCTGCGTTGTCAAGCAGTCAGCCTAAACCCTAAACCCCAAACCCTAAACCCTAAACCCTAAACCCTAAACCCTAAGCCGCACCGCTTCTTCATACTATCTCCCCGCATATTTTTCCCTTCTGTTTTTCTCCAGTACTGCAAACCCTAACCCCCAAACCCTAAACCCTAAACCCTAAACCCCAATGAGCCGGAGGTCTTGCTAGCCGTTGAGCCGCCATGGGGTTGAAGAAGGGCTCTGCTGCTGCTGCAGCAGCAGCAGCAGCAACACAGCAGCAGCAGCAGCAGCAGCAGCTGCAGCAGCAGGACATCTTGGGCTGCAGCCGTGCGGAAGGCTTACAAAGCAGCAGCGACACAATCGACTTGCGCAGCAGCAGCAGCAGCAGCAGCAGCAGCAACTGCTGCTGCAGCAGCAGCAGCAGGCTCTGGTGGTGCGCAGCAGCACTGGGGCTTCTTGCTGTTGCTGCTGGCTTTGCTGTTTGTGTAGCAGCAGCAGCACTGCAGCAGCTGCAGCAGCACTTTTCTCTTTGCGGCTCTCACTTTGCATGCGCAGAAAAAGGGGCTTTTGTTGCAGTTCTAGCCCCAGGAGCAGCAGTAAGAAACCCTAAACCCTAAACCCTAAACCCTAAACCCTAGTCGCCAAACCCCGAACCCCTCAAGGAGCAGCTGCAGCAGTCTCAGCTGCAGCCTCTCAAACCCTAAACCCTAAACCCTAAACCCTAAACCCTAAACCCTCAAGGAGCAGCTGCAGCAGTCTCAGCTGCAGCCTCTCAAACCCTAAACCCTAAACCCTAAACCCTAAACCCTGAAAGCGCCCTTCGACTTGGCAGGCGCTGACTGCGGGCTGCCCTTCAGGGCTTTGGGGTTTCTGCTCGAGTGCCTTCACCACTCACTGCCTAGGGTTTAGGGTTTAGGGTTTAGGGTTTAGGGTTTAGGGTTTAGGGTTTAGGGTTTGCGTGCAGGCGGGGAGCCTTTTTGGGGGTTTTGTGGCGGACACTGTGGGCCGCTGGCGTTCTCTTCTGTGGAGCTCTTTGGGGCTTTTGTTGGCCACAGCTCTTACAGTTTTGCCCAACAACTACTCCGTGAGGGTTTAGGGTTTAGGGTTTAGGGTTTAGGGTTTAGGGTTTAGGGTTTAGGGTTTGGGGTTTAGGGTCTTTGGGGCTCTTTCCGCGGCCATGCCGCAACGGCATTTCCGCATTTGCGCTTCTCAGAGTTCAGGGTTTCTCGCGTTTGGGGTTTGCGGGGTCAGGGTTTAGGGTTTAGGGTTTAGGGTTTAGGGTTTAGGGTTTAGGGTTTGTGCTGCAGCTGGTGCTGCTGGGCCGCGCGCTGCAAGGGGTGTTTATGGCGGTGGGGTTGGTCTCGAGTTTCACTTTTGCTGCTGAAGTGGCTCCCAAGGATTTGCGGGGGTGTTTTGTGGCGCTGCAGGAAGTGCTGCACTGCATAGGTCCCAAACCCTAAACCCTAAACCCTAAACCCTAAACCCTAAACCCTAAACCCGCGTTTGCGGGGGGCGGGGCAGGCTTTGACGGGCTGCGGCGCTGCAGCGCAGCGCAAGCAGGGCAGATGTAACACTGGGAGCATCTGCATTCACAGATTTAGGGTTTAGGGTTTAGGGTTTAGGGTTTAGGGTTTAGGGTTTAGGGTTTAGGGTTTGAGTTCAGGCTGCTTTCTGCCCTACTTTGTTGCCTGGGCTTTCCCGGAGTTGCAGTGGAGAGGACTTGTGGGCATTGCAGCATTATTTGTTTCGATGATGGTAAACCCTAAACCCTAAACCCTAAACCCTAAACCCTAAACCCTAGCTCTTGAACAAGCTCGCTAGCGAATGCCCGATTGCCAGCGACAGAGCAACTGCTGCAAAAGACGCATGCGAGGGTTTAGGGTTTAGGCCCTTGACTATATACTTAGGGTTTAGGGTTTAGGGTTTAGGGTTTAGGGTTTGTGGCTTCCGCCTCAGATACTTTGCATGCCCTTCCTGCCGGAAAGCCCTCGCTATTTGCTGCTGCGCCACAAAGCAGCAGCAGCAGAAAGGGCAATGGTGCGTTTGGGGTATTCGGAGCAGCAGCGGCAGCAGCTGCTGCAGAGTGTGCAGCAGCAGCAGCAGCAGCAGGAGCAGCAGCAGCAGCAGCAGCAGCAGGAGCAGCAGCAGCAGCAGCAGCAGCTGCAGCAGCAGGACACGGAGGACTTGGAGACGGAAGCAGCCTTTCCCCTGCCCCCTTCGGTGCCGGCCGCAGCCCCCTCTCCAGCAGCAGCAGCAGCAGCAGCAGCAGCAGCAGCAGCAGCAGCAGCAGCAGCAGCAGCAGCAGCAAAGCCGAAGAAGGCCCGCCCCGCGTGGCTGGCGCTGCTGCTTGCTGCAGCCCTCGGCTGCATGCACAGCCTGCTGGCAGCAAATAGTCTGATAGTTTTAACTTCTGATTTGCTGCTGATTTTTGGGGTTTGCGACAACAAAGGGCCCGCCGCTGCAGTCAGCATGGCCAAGGTTAGGGTTTAGGGTTTAGGGTTTAGGGTTTAGGGTTTCGGGCTGAAGCCGTGCGCGGAAGAGGGTTTGGGGTTTGCGCTTTAGCCTAGAGCTGGCGCTATGCTGCGCAAGCCCTGCTGCTCGCAAGGCCGAGGGTTTAGGGTTTAGGGTCTAGGGTTTAGGGTTTAGGGTTTAGGGTTTAGGGTTTAGGGTTTGTGCTGCAGCTGCTGGGGGCTATAGTCTGTTTGTTAATTGCTGATCGCGTGGGGCGCCGCGTGCTGCTGTTGGTGGGAGCTGGCGGCATTTGTTTGGCGCATTTGGCCTTAGCTGTAAACCCTAAACCCTAAACCCTAAACCCTAAACCCTAATCCCTAAACCCAAGCCCTAAACCCTAAACCCTAGGTTGTGGTTTCCACGGCTTCAGTCTTCAGTGCGCTTCCTTAGGGGCCTGCTGTTCTTACTGCTTCGAGAAACTCTAAACCCTAATTTGCTCCCCCTAAACCCTAAACCCTAAACCCTAGCAGTCACCTGAAGCCTTTCTTGCAATTAGGAGTCTCTGGAAAGTGTGTGAGCTGCAGCAGCACAACCCTGTTGCGCCAGGGATTAGGGTTTAGGGTTTAGGGTTTAGGGTTTGTGGTTTCAGGTGCTTGGCTTTGTGCGGCGCCAGCTGCTGCCGGAGAGTTTGCTGCAGCAGTGCACAGCTCCTGCTGCTGCTGCTGCTGCTGCTGCTGCTGCTGCTTACACGCCTGAGGAGCTTTTTGCTGCAGCAGCAACTAGCGCCTGCAGCAGCTTCTTGCTGCTGATGATGATTCTTATATGGGGCGCTACCTGGGCCTGCATGGCCACAGTTGTTGCTGCAGAGGTACAAACCCTAAACCCTAAACCCTAAACCCTAAACCCTAAGCCCAAGACCTATTGCAACAGAGAACGCGATTGCCCTTAGCTGCATCTTCGCTGTGTTCCCTCTCCTGTTTCATCGTGCAGCTTAACTCCACCATTCAGGGTTTAGGGTTTAGGGCCTAGGGTTTAGGGTTTAGGGTTTAGGGTTTAGGGTTTGTGGCTGCAGCTTTCCCCGCCGCGCCACCGCGCCTTCGGGGTTGGCGTCGCTGGAGCAGCAGGTTCTGTTTTAGCAGCAGTTTTCCAGCTTTATGGAGAGCCTTTGTTGGTTTATATTGGCATTGACAGTGAGCTAGGGTTTAGGGTTTAGGGTTTAGGGTTTAGGGTTTAGGGTTTGGGGTTTGGGGTTTAGGGTTTACGCGCCGGGTCAGAGGGTTTAGGGTTTTGAGCCAGGGGCTGGGGGTTGAGGGCGAGAGGCTAGCGAGGAGGGCTAGGGCCACGGGACTATGTCAACAGATTAGGGTTTAGGGTTTAGGGTTTAGGGTTTAGGGTTTGTGTGTTTGCGCGCAGTCAGCTTCCTCATCTTTGCTGCTCTCTCAGCTTCAGTTTTTATTTTTACATTTTTTTTGGTGCCGGAGCTTAGAGGGAAAGAATTGCATTCTGCGCCTGCGAGGGTTCTCGTAAACCCTAAACCCTAAACCCTAAATTGTGGTTTGTAAACCCTAGCTGCGGGGGTGCGGCCGCTGCAGCCACGCCCGCTGGGTCCTGTCTAAACCCTAAACCCTAAACCCTCCTCTCGCCTGTTTATTTGGGGCGCTGAGAAGGGTTTAGGGTGGCTTTGCACTCTTGCCCCGCATGGGGGTTTAGGGTTTAGGGTTTAGGGTTTAGGGTTTAGGGTTTAGACGCAGCGCTGACGTCCGAAGCTCAGTGCGCGGGAGAAGTGCTGCTGCAGCTGCTGCAAAATGAGTGCAGCAGCAGCAAATGCAGCAGCAACTACAGCAGCAGCAGCAGCAGCGGCAATTGCTGCAGCAGCAATATTTGCTGCAGGAGCAACAGTTGCTGCAGCAGCAAGTGCAGCAGCCGCAGCAGCAAGTGCTACAGCAGCAGCAATTGCTGCAGTCGCGAAGATTGCTGCAGCAGCAGCAGCAGCAACAGTATTTGAGTGTTTGAAGAGTGCCTGTCAAACCCTAAACCCTAGTGCTAAACCCTAAACCCTAGTGTTAAACCCTAAACCCTCCTCCGCAGCCTAAACCCTAAACCCTCGGTCCAGCGGTAGACCCATCTCATGGAGCCCTAGGCAGTCCCCAGCTCAAACCCTAAACCCTAAACCCTAGTCATGTGTCTTTAGACAGCACAAATTGCTGAGGGTCTGCAGCAGCTAGCTGCAGCAGCTGCAGCAGCTGCAGCAGCAGCAGCAACGACCTGCAGCAGCCAGCAGCAGCAGCTGCCTGCAAGCAGCAGCAGCTAGCAGCAGCTAGCAGCAACCACCAGCGGCTAGCTGCAGCTAGCTGCTGCGGAACACGTAGCCAGCTAGTTGCACAACTAGCTAGCTGCACAGCTAGCTGTGCAGCTAGCTGCACAGCTAGCTGCTAGCTAGCTGCAGCTAGCTAGCTGCTAGCTAGCTGCAGCTGCACAGCTAGCTGTGCAGCTGCAACTAGCTGTGCAGCTAGCTGTGCAGCTAGCTGTGCAGCTAGCTGTGCAGCTAGCTGTAGAGCTAGCTATTTTGCAGGCTATTTAGCTAGCTATGCTACGCTTCTACCTGCGTAGCTAGTTGCCTAGCTAGCTATCTAGCTAGCTACCTGGCTAGCTACCTAGCTAGCTGTTTGGCTAGCTGTTTGGCTAGCTGTGTAGCTGTAGCTAGCCAGGCCGCGAGCTAGGCGGCTAGCTGCAGCTAGCTGTGCAGCTAGTTGCAGCTAGTTGCAGCTAGCTGCAGCTAACTGCAACTAAGTGCGCAGCTAGCTACAGCTAGCTGCAGCTGGGTACGGCTAGCTGAGGCTAGCCACAGCTAGCTACGGCTAGCCACAGCTAGCCACAGCTAGCTACGGCTAGCCACAGCTAGCCACAGCTAGCCACAGCTAGCTGCAGCTAGCTGCAGCAGCAAGGAAGTGAATAAAAGTAAATATTAATTGAAAATATAAAGATGTGGCTAGCTGCAGCTACCCACAGCCAGCCCTAGCTAGCCTCAGCTAGCTAGCTAGCTGCAGCTAGCCACAGCTAGCTAGCTAGCCGCAGCTAGCCACAGCTAGCTAGCTAGCTAGCTGCAGCTAGCCACAGCTAGCTAGAGCCGTTTGTATCTGGGGCCTAGAATGGCTTCTGAGTTTTTGTGGAGTGGGAGATGGGGGGCTAGGGCGTATTCGGCGTGCAGGGTTTAGGGTTTAGGGTTTAGGGTTTAGGGTTTGGGGTTAAGGGTTTTAAGTATAGTGTTAAGCGTCTAGGGTTTAGGGTTTAGGGTTAGGGTTTAGGGCTTGGGGTTTAGGGTTTAGCGTTCAGAGCCCAGCTCTGAAGCATCGGGGCAGTCTTCTGAATCCGTAGAAGCCATAGGGAGTCTTTGACTCAGTTTTTGCTGTAGAGTTTAGCAGCAGCAGCAGCAGCAGCAGCAGCAGCAGCAGCAGCAGCAGCAGCAGCAGCAGCAGCCGCATGGCACAGGCGAGCTGGCTGGGGGGCCCCTGGGGCCCCCCAGTATACTTTTGGTTGTTTTGTGTTCTGTTCTGGTTTTGAATTGAACAGCGGGTTTTTAAGTGACGTTTAAGCCCTAAACCCTAAAATAGGGTTTAGGGTTTGGGTTTGGCGCTGGGCGTCTGGGGATGTACTGGGTGTTTCCCGCGGAGCTCAGGTGTCCATACACCTCAATCTATTCCATCTTTGTTTTTAATTAATTTTTATTTTCATTTATTTCTTTTCTTTCTTTTATTTCGGCAGCAGCTATGGGGACGGAGGTACGCTACCCGAACCCCCGATCTAGGGTTTAGGGTTTAGGGTTTAGGGTTTAGGGTTTAGGGTTTAGGGTTTAGAGGGCGTGTGCTATATAGGCGGAGGCTTTGCTGCTGGAAGTGGGCGCCGAGATGGGCCGGACTGAGGAGGATATGCGGCCATTCATTCGCAAGTAGGGTTTAGGGTTTAGGGTTTAGGGTTTAGGGTTTAGGGTTTATGGGCTAGGGTTTAGGGGCTAGGGTTTAGGGTTTAGGTTTTAGGATAATTGTGGAGCGTCATTCACAACAGTGCCCTACATTAGCTTCTATGATCGGGCGCCGGTGCTAGGGTTTAGGGTTTAGGGTTTAGGGTTTGGGGTCTAGGGTTTAGGGTTTTACGCTTTGGGATTTAGGGTTTAGGGTTTAGGGTTTGCCTTTGAAGTGCTTGCGCTCCTGCAGGATTGTAGAGGAAAACTGGCTGGAGACGAGAGGTTTGCTGCTGCTGTTGCTGCTGCTGCTGTTGCTGCTGCTGCTGCTGCTGTTGCTGCTGCCGCTGCTGCTGCTGTTACCGCCGCTGTTGCTGCTGTTGCTGCTCCTGCTGCTGTTGATTCCTCTCTTCCTGCTGGCTCTATGGCCCCGTAGTCTGGGGTTTAGGGCCTAGGGTTTAGGGTTTAGGGTTTAGGGTTTAGGGTTTAGGGTTTGTTGCAGAGAGTTTGGCGGCTCTCAGCAACGAGCAGTGGAAGCAGCTGGGAATTCCTCTTCGTTTGGAAACAGCTCTAAGGGCCCGCCTAAACCCTGCTGCTGCTGCTGCTGCTGCTGCTGCTGCTGCTGCTCCTGCTGCTGCTGCTGCTGCTGCTGCTGCTGAAGGCAGCAGCCAGCGTGCAGCAGCAGCGCCGGAAGAGGAAAGGCCTCAGTCAGAGAGCCGTAGGGAACTCTGCTGCTGCTGCTGCAGCTGCTGCTGCAGCAGCAGCTGCTGCTGCTGTGAATCCGTTGCTGCTGTTTGCAGTTGCTGCTACTTCCATAATTGCTGCTGCTGCTGCTGCTGCTGCTGCTGCTGCACTTGCCTGTGGTGCCTGACCTGCTGCTGCTGCGGCTTGTGGTTCAAGCCTTGCTGCTGCTGCTACAGCTGCTGCTGCTGCTGCTGCTGCAGCTGCTGCTGCTGCTTTGTGTCTTGTGCCTGCAGCTGGCACTCCCCGGGTGCTGTCCCTTCCCGCCCAGCAGCAGCAGCAGCAGCAGCAGCAGCAGCAGCAGCAGCAGCAGTTGCTGCTGCAGCAAGAGTTTACAGTCGAGAAAGGGGAAGCTCCTGAGGCCCTTTTTGTTTGTTCTATTGAAGACGCATTAGATTTGCTGCAAAGAAAAGTAAATGCAAATCAATTGCTGCTGTTGCTGCTGCTGCTGCTGCTGTTGCTGCTGCTGCTGCAGCAATAGAAGCAGCAGCACTTAGAGCAAGAGCAGCAGCAACAGCAGCAGCAGCAGCAGCAGCAGCAGCAGCAGCAGCAGCAGGTTTGCGGTGGTCCTGTAGCAGCAACTGCTGCTGCTGCAGCCATTACCCCACTTGCTATTCCCGCTGCACTTGCTGCTGCAGCTGGACCTGCTGCTGCTGCTGTTGCTGCTGCACTTGCTGCTGCTTCTTGATCTGCTGCTGCCGCTGGACTTGCTGCTGCTGCTTGACCTGCTGCTGCTGCAGTTGCCGCTGCACTTGCTGCTGCGGCTTGACCTCCTGCTGCTGCTGCCGCTGCACTTGCTGCTACCGCTTGACCTCCTGCTGCGCTGCACTTGCTGCTGCAGCGTCACCTGCTGCTGCTGCTGCTGCTGCTGCTGCTGCTGCTGCTGCTGCTGCTGCTGCTGCTGCTGCTGCTGCAGGTGTTGGGTGAGGACTTGAAAGCAGCAATTCGAGTGCTGCAGCAGCTGCTGCTGGGGGTTTTGGCGCAGCCGGCGAATCCAAAGAAAAGAAAAGTTCGCATTGGAAACCCTACCTTCCACGCTGCAGTGCGTAAACCCTAAACCCTAAACCCTAATCCTAAACCCTAAATCCTAATCCTAAACCCCAAACCCTAGTCCTAAACCCTGAACCCTAGTCCCTGCGCTGCGAAACCTGCCTTCCAAGCAGCAGTCCGTAAACCCTAAACCCTAACCCTATGCGCCAAAGCCTCACGCCGAGCCTCGAGCCCCGACTTCCACCGAAAACCCTAAACCCTAAACCCTAAGGCAAACCAAGAGCACGCGGAGGCGCCGCCGCCTGCGCTGCGCACGCAGCTAGGGTTTAGGGTTTAGGGTTTAGGGTTTAGGGTTTAGGGTTTGCTGCAGGCTGGTGATCTGCTACCGACTGCTGGCTGAAATTGCAGCAGCTCTGGGGGTTTCTGCTGCTCCTCTTCCAAAGGGCTACTTTGACCCTTTTTCCAGCAGCTTCAGTTCAAGCGCGGGCCAGAGGCAAACCCTAAACCCTAAACCCTAAACCCTTAACCCTAAACCCTAAACCCTAAACCCTAAGGCCAGGCTCGCGGGGGATGTGCCGCGCGCTGGCCTCGTGTCGCGACGCCAACGCAAATGCGCAGGGGACTCGGTTTCAGTTTGGCATCAGGGTTTAGGGTTTAGGGTTTAGGGTTTAGGGTTTAGGGTTTAGGGTTTAGGGTTTAGGGTTTGTGCGCAGCGCACTGCCGCCATCGGCAGCAGAGGCAAGGGCAGCAGAAGCAAGAGAGATTGAAAGGCAGATAAAGGAGAGAGAAAAACTGCTAGCAGTAAACCCTAAACCCTAATCCCTAGACCCTAAACCCTAAACCC